GGGGAGGGGGGACTTGGTGGGGAAGAGGGCTGGAGGTATTTTGCATTCCTTTGCTGTGGGTAGCAAGGGGAGAGGGTTGTATGGATTCTTGTTTTTAACTTTCCATTTCTTCGCTAGTTTCTATCCTCTTTGCGCAGCTGCGAAGTTTTATCAAAATATGTCAAGGTCAACGGACAGAGGCCTCATCACCACCTGAAGATGCCCACATGATCATATTCAGAACTTTTAATTGGAAGAGTCATTTGGACTTTGGGGGGTGGGAACAATTCCATTCCTTTGTATATGTGATCTGCGTGCCAATTCCTCAGATTCGGAATTCAATCTGTAGCTTCCACTTTGATTTCCAGTAAAAGGATAACTTTGCTCTAATCCATGGAGTCTGAGTATTTCTTTCTTGGATCTTGAAGGGAGCACACACTGACACCCTCCCTCTGAATTCTCCCCATTTTCTGCCCCCCAGGAGCTGCTTGCCACCGAGAAGCAGCAGGTGGGCCTGGCGCTGGAGTCCCTGCAGGAGCTGCTCCGGGAGAGGCAGCCGGTCTGGCTGGGCTGGCTGGCCGAGCAGGAGAAGATGGAGTCTGAGTGGGCGGTGACCCTGGCCCAGCTCTCCAGGGAGACCTCCTGCCTGCAACAGCTGATGGCCCAGACAGAAAGGAAGTGCCGTCAGCCGGATGGGGAATTCTTGCAGGTGGGAAGGAGCAGAGGGTTCCTGGGTGGGGGAGGGGAGATCGGCCACCCTTACGAGGGCCGGCACCCATTTCACTCTTTTCTTTCAGGACATCCAAGACACCGTAGACAGGTAGGCGCCATCTTGCCCTTCCCCACCCCTGGCTTTGTGGGTCGGTTTGTGCCCAAAATTTCTGGGGCGGCTGCATCCTTTCGGATTTTGTGGCCAAGAGATGCTGATTGTGGGGCCTTTGGTGCTCTCGGAACTCAACTGACTTCCTGCAGACGTTTCGTTACCCAACTGTTCGGTCCTAGGCCTCCCCAAAAAGCACTAAGTCAATTCTGGGTCCTGGCAAAGCCTCTTTTATTACATTAATGTGAATTTATTTCATTCACAGTCAGCCAATGGCTTGGCAAACTGTCTTGCAAAGGTATGCTAATTAGTTCAGGCCTTATCAATCCTGGAACTCTGCCTGGTAAATAGTTCCACACTCAGTGCTGACAGGGAAGGGCTGGGTTATACAGACAAATCTTCCAAGGCTTAAGCAAATGAGCGAGTGAGTTGTTCCCTGCAAAAGCCCCCTCCCCTTTTGCTTCTCTTTTAATCCTGATGGGAGGGGGCATTCATCGTCTACCTGTGCCCTTACTCCCACACTGACCCTGAGTTCGTAATTGTTCCTTCCTTTTGGCATCTCTGTGTATGCGTAGGCTGGGGACCAGTTCCAGACGCTTCCCCACCTCAGTGCTGTCCAAGGCTGAAGGCAGCCTGCCCTGGCCCCATCTCTGCCTCTGACCCAGAGCCCTCATCCGAACCTTCCTCAGCCTCCAAGACTGTCCTGCGTTCCTCCCCAACCTCCTCAGTATTGCCCGAGTCTGTTGCCCGCTGCGGCAGCTGCCGGCGGGCCACAACACTGACTAGGTAACACCATCAGTGCTGGGAGGGAGTGGTGTTCGCTCCCTCTTGATGCACAAGTAGGGCAGTCTCAGTTGGGGAGCCGTTTATGCCTCAGTGGTTGCTCAGGCATTGTAAACAACACAGATGAGGCACCATCAACGCAGACCGACAATCCAACAGCAAAACGGAGGCTAACCAGGGAGCCCCCAAGGAGAGAACAACGGTCCCAGCAATACTCTCAGGGGAAGCCAGGAGTGCAGACAGGCCTTGACCTCATGATCACAGCTGAAGCCAAGATTTCTGTTACTAAGTGAGACAGTCATTAACTGAGTTTTTTCGACCTTTCTTGCCACACTTTTTAAGCATATTGCTGCTGCTGATAGGTTAGTAACCTGGTTGTTAAGTGAAACAGGCTTCCCCATGGGCTTTGGTTGTCTGACGGCCACATGACCTTGGAATCCAGCAATAGTCATAAGTGTGAGCTCATTGCCAATAATCTACATTTGGATCCTGTGGCCATGGGGATGCTGCAAAGGTTTAAACTCTGAAAAATGTCTGGAGGGCACTTTTTTCACTGCCGTAACTTTGAACATTCAAAAAACAAACAGTTGAGGGTTACCTGTATGTGAAAGGAGAGCAAACCGCACTCCCTTCTGGCACTGATGATGTTGCTCAGTTGCGTAATGAAAGGTCTGCAAGAAAACAGCCGATCCCCAAGGACCCGCAGGGACAACTCTTCTCTTCTGCTGGAGGTTCGCTTTCTCCGCAGCCATTCGGATGATCCCCACTTGGGGTGGAGGGAAGCGGTGAAAACTCAGTTGTTGCAGGAAACCTGGTTTCTTTGCTTAGGACCCCTTAGTCCTTGGTACAGTAAGATCAGAATCACACTGACGTTTGTGTTGAGTTTGTGACTTTTCTCGCTTCTGTACTGAACTCTACACTGGTTCAGTGCGCAGAGTCGGTTGCGATCAAAGCAACAAATAACGGTTGCATAGCAAACAAGCTAGGATTCACGCCACATGCCAAACTCAGGTTTGGAAAACCTGAGTCCTGTACTCACCTGGCAAGATGCTGGAAAGGACCGGCTTGTTTCACACACCCCACAGCCAACCCAGCCCTCACCTAGCCCCCCTGTGTTGCGGGGAGGCAGCCGGGTAGGTGTGTGAGGCCATTGTCAAGTCATAAAACATTTTGTATACACGTTTTATAGTTGACAACAGAAAAGGGGGGGGGGGGAGTTTCAAAGAGCAGGCGGCAGTGTGGAATTGAAAGTACACTCCATTCATATTTTCTTCTAAGACTGATTAGATGACTGAAGCTTCTGCCGCAAAAAAATCTAATTGGAGAGCATGATAGATGACTCTTGGCTATGGACGTTTTTCGTTGAATGATACACCCGGGGGGGGGGGGAGCAGCATCAAGGGTGACAGTGAATTACGTATCTCAGAGTTGGCTACGCCTAGGTTAGTGCCAGACATGGAATGTTACCTTCAAATAAATCCTCTTCAGTTTTGGGAGTGTGGCTCAAGGCTCATGATTAAATTGGAGTAACTGCCAGAACCCTGACAGCCGCCCTCCTTGTGTCGCAGGTGCCGGAGTTACGTGGTGGGGCGTGTAGAGAGCATCTCTCCCAGCCTGCAAGACAGACTCCGCACCCTCTTGGAGAAAAACGCTTCTGTAAGGCAGATTGTTGACAGTTGCAAAGGTGAGGGGCCCTTTCAGGAGGGGGCTGGGGGTCTTGGGCCCTAGAGAGCAGCCCCAGGAGTTCTGGGCCCTCCTTCTGCCCCCCTTCCTACTGGGGGAACTCGGGGGAGCCAGACCCAAACCGGCTCCATCCAACCTGGCTGGGTGAAGGCGGGGGCTGCCACTTCCACTGATCACTCAGCCCCCCAACCATGCTCCTTGGGGTGGGGGTTCACTGGGCACCTGGCAAGGACCAAGACACTGCTGCCAACAGGGTGGCTTCCGCTCACGGGCATTGCCCACGGGCGGCTGTTTCTCATCCCGGCCCCGTTTTCTCCTTTCGTCCTCTGAATCTCAGCCTCTCTGCAGGCGACTCTGACCAGGGAGAACCTGGAGCAACTTCTGACCACAGGTAAACCCCCTGGGGCTGGTGGTGGGGGAGTTAGTGGGGAAGGGGCTTGCAAAGACCACCAGGCCTCTCAGCAGTGGTTTCCCACATCACCAGGAGTAACGCCTGCCAGGAGTGGCTTCCTCCGTGGGGTGGAAGCCCCGAGTCTGGAGGGCCCCCAAAGGCAGCCTCTGGGGGAGGAGTGGGGTCCCTCACAGCCACACGGATCTGACCCTTCCCTGCCAGCCCTTGGCCCTTCCAGAAAAGAGCCATGGGGGAGGGCGCTTAGAACTTCCCGGGCATAGAAGAGCCCAGCGGGGGCCTCGGGTGTTGAGCTGGGGCCTGTGAGAAGTGGGCTGGGGGGCTTGGAGAAGCCCCTGATTTTAACTTCTATCCCTTCCTCCCCAGCACTTGCTCCACAACAGCCAAGATATCCTAGAGGTAACTGCACACGGAAGAAGAGGGAACGTTCTGTAGCGGGTGGTGTCCATAGAGGGCAGCGGATGTTGGGCATCCCCTGTCTGGCAAGGGCCCTTCCTGAATCAGCCCTCCGGGCACCTAGTAAATGGGGGGGGGCTGACCTCGGGGCTCTGCAGCCATGATGCTTCAGTGGCCATGAGTGTGAAAAATGGTTGTAGGTCACCCTTTCAGTGCCATTGTAACTTCAAACCATCACTAAAGGAATAGTTGTAAGCCGAGGATGACCAGTGCCATCTCCAGGTGCCCTGGGGAATTGAAGTAAGCGCAGGGCCTATTGTGGGTCAGACCCCCCAACTGCCCACAACCCCCACTTCAGAGGCAGCCCCACTGACCTCTGGCTGCAGAGACCTGCTGTACTTAGGAATTGGTCCCATTTTGGGAGGGGGGGCTTGCCAGCCACTGCATCTCTGGCTCAGAGAGGACCAAACGGCTCAGAAGCACCCAGCCCCGCCCTGCTTTGCCCTCCGTAGCCCAGAGTCATCAATCATGTTCTCCAGTTAGATATTTGTGTTAGTGTTTGGGGATTAACCCCTAGCAGAGTATTGCAGCAGTAGTCAAGCCAGGCAGCCAAACGAGAGCGGAAGGGCCCCAGAGTATACACACACTGAACACAAACACTGTTTGTAGTTTAAATAGTTTTTAATCCATTTAGAGTTTAAATCATTGTCATTCAGTCCATTATGTCATTCACTATATTTCCATCCAGTAAGACTCACTATTACAGTCCAAGTTAAGAGTCCTTACAATATCTTTATCAGCCGATAAAGATATCTTCTCCTCCTCCGGTGCCTCTCTCCAGAGGAACAAATGCTGGATATTCAGCAAGACGCTCAAACAGTAGAACAGTTGAATTCAGCAATAAATCAGCAAAACAGTAGCAGACAGGATCATCTCAGTCACAGGCACAGTCACAGTAACAGTAACAGTAAACAGTAAGACACAGTAAGCTTTCCAGCTTCTAATGCTTCCTTATATTGTAACTTCTAACCGCACCCTTAATCGGCTAATTGCCTGCAGCATTGTGCTTAAAGTGATACGCACTTAAACCATGATATCTAAGTTTTATATATTTATTCACCCAAACCATATTTGGTATCAATGTTATACCTAACAATTTGCTTGGGAGAAACTTCAGTCACCTAGTTACTATCTCTAAAAAGCTATGTGTGGAATGCACTTTTGGTTTCCAAACTGCCACACTGCTCTTCCAAACCCCTTTCCCCCCTCCCTTTCTGTTGGCAACTCTAAAAAGACCTTAGAAATGTTTTATGAGTTGACACCCTGTTCCCAGCCCATCTTAAAAGAGTTTCTGTTCTCCGTCCTGCAGCCAACGCCGTGCCGAACAGCTCAACCGCCCACCCCCGGCTCCTGTGCAATGGCTCCACTGTGACTTGGGCCGACAGATACCAGAATTACTCAGATGTGCCAGGGAGGTTCGACCGGGAATTCTGTGTCCTGGGCCGTGAAGGATTCAACACAGGATGGCACTGGTGGGAGGTGTCCGTGCAGGTGGCAGCCGACAATGCCCCGGTGCGGGGCACAGCATGTTGGGCCATCGGGGTGGCCAAGGAGTCCGTCCGCAGGAAGGGGAGGTTCGAGCTGAGCCCCCAGGAGGGAATCTGGGCCGTGGGGAAGAGTGTTAGAGGGGAGTTTGTCACTTTTGACACAGATCAGAAGAAGCTGAGCTTGAAAAAGGTGCTGCAGAGGCTGCGGGTGAGGCTGGACTGCGAGGCAAAAGAAGTGGAGTTCCTGGATGGGGAGACGGAGGATTCCCTCCACACCTTCCAGATGGGGCCCCTCCTTGGGGAGACTCTCTGGCCATTTTTCTATCTGGGCCAGGTGGGGGTCACCTTTATTGTTAGGAATTTCCACATCCTATAAAAGATCTTTGGGACTGATAGTCCTCAACTTACAACAGTTCACGTACTGACCAGAGTTGAGGAGCTCAGCCCCACCTCCTCACGCCTTCAAGGCCACATCTGGCAAGAGGACCAGATGTCGTCGCCCCTCCCCGCACCATGCCCGACCTCCTTATCCTTTTGCCATGCTCAG